GTCGGCGACTTCAACTTGAAATCCATAAACTGGGAAGCATGTGAAGCTAAAACAGAAGATTTCTGGACCTGTAAATTTGTAGACCTCATCCTGGAAACATTCTTGTATCAACATGTTAAACAAGCTACGAGGATGAGGGAAGGGGACGTCCCCTCCATGCTAGATTTGATATTTACCAGGAAGGAGGAAGAAATATTTGACATTCAGTGCCTTCCTCCCTTGGGTAAAAGTGACCATGTCTTTTTGGGAATAAAGTATGCAATGCGTTATAATCTGGAAGAAAATATGACGGTCGATGCAAATGAAAAACCTGACTTTAGGAGAGGACATTATGGCAACCTTAGAAAATTTTTTAGTGAGTATAATTGGACAGACTTGTTGCTAGGCAAGGAAGTGAATGAGATGTATGTCAGGTTTTGTGAAATATATGATAAAGGCACAAAAAAATTTATACCAAAACAGAGAAGCAGAACTAGGAAACAGGATTGGTTCAACAGAAAGTGCGAGAGGGCCAGAGACCAAAAGACACAAAAATGGAATCAATATAGGAAGAGGCCGAACCCCCAAACATACCAGCGATACAAAGATGCGAGAAACAACTACACGGCAGTGAGGAGAGAGGCAGAAAGAAATTTTGAAAAAGGGATTGCAGACAAATGCAAAACAGAACCAGGTCTGTTCTATAAATTCATAAACAACAAATTGCAGGTAAAGGATAATATTCAGAGGTTGAAAATGGGAAATAGATTCACGGAAAATTAAAAGGAAATGTGTGAAACATTAAACGAAAAGTTCCAAAGTGTGTTTGTACAAAATGAAATCTTCAGGGAACCAGATACAATAAGAATTCCAGAGAACAACATAGAGCACATAGAGGTGTCTAGAGACGAAGTGGAAAAAATGCTCAAGGAGCTAAATAAGAACAAAGCAGTTGGTCCAGATGGAGTTTCACCATGGGTTCTGAGAGAATGTGCACCTGAGCTCAGCATTCCTCTTCAACTGATTTTTCAGGCATCCCTGTATACAGGAGTTGTAGCTGATGTGTGGAAAAAGGCTAACATAGTTCCAATCTACAAAAGTGGGAGCAGGGAAGACCCCCTTAATTATAGACCGGTATCATTGACAAGTGTAATAGTCAAAATATTGGAAAAAATAATTAAAACTAAATGGGTAGAACACCTGGAGAGAAATGATATAATATCAGACAGACAGTATGGTTTTCGATCTGGAAGATCCTGTGTATCGAATTTACTCAGCTTCTATGATCGAGCAACAGAGATATTACAGGAAAGAGATGGTTGGGTTGACTGCATCTATCTGGACCTAAAAAAGGCTTTCGACAGAGTTCCACATAAGAGGTTGTTCTGGAAACTGGAAAATATTGGAGGAGTGACAGGTACGCTTCTAACATGGATGAAAAATTTTCTGACTGATAGAAAAATGAGGGCTGTGATCAGAGGCAATGTATCGGACTGGAGAAATGTCACAAGTGGAGTACCACAGGGTTCAGTTCTTGCACCAGTGATGTTTATTGTGTACATAAATGATCTACCAGTTGGTATACAGAATTATATGAACATGTTTGCTGATGATGCTAAGATAATAGGAAGGATAAGAAACTTAGATGATTGTCATGCCCTTCAAGAAGACCTGGACAAAATAAGTACATGGAGCGCCACTTGGCAAATGGAATTTAATGTTAATAAATGCCATGTTATGGAATGTGGAATAGGAGAACATAGACCCCACACAACCTATATATTATGTGAGAAATCTTTAAAGAATTCTGATAAAGAAAGAGATCTAGGGGTGGTTGTAGATAGAAAACTATCACCTGAGGACCACATAAAGAATATTGTGCGAGGAGCCTATGCCACGCTTTCTAACTTCAGAATTGCTTTTAAATACATGGATGGCGATATACTAAAGAAATTGTTCACGACTTTTGTCAGGCCAAAGCTAGAATATGCAGTAGTTGTGTGGTGCCCATATCTTAAGAAGCACATCAACAAACTGGAAAAGGTGCAAAGACATGCTACTAAGTGGCTCCCAGAACTGAAGGGCAAGAGCTACAAGGAGAGGTTAGAGGCATTAAATATGCCAAAACTAGAAGACAGAAGAAAAAGAGGTGATATGATCACTACATACAAAATAGTAACAGGAATTGATAAAATCGATAGGGAAGATTTCTTGAGACCTGGAACGTTAAGAACAAGAGGTCATAGATATAAACTAGCTAAACACAGATGCCGAAGAAATATAAGAAAATTCACTTTCGCAAACAGAGTGGTAGACGGTTGGAACAAGTTAGGGGAGAAGGTGGTGGAGGCCAAGACCGTCAGTAGTTTCAAAGCGTTATATGACAAAGAATGCTGGGAAGACGGGACACAACGAGCGTAGCTCTCATCCTGTAACTACACTTAGGTAATTACACTTAGGTAATTACATAAGTGCAATGGCCCTGCGGAGGGCCTCTTGGCCTGTGCGAGGCAGCTACTAATTTAAATTAAATTTTGCTCCAAGGGGCGAGTTTATTGGGCAGCGCCACTCATCTTGTGAGTAGAAACACCGCCATAGCAGCATGTACAACACTCCCCGATAGGAGGAATACCTGCTGGGTTGTTCATCCGGTCACTTGTACCCAGACACAGCTGGGATTTGCTTAACTGTCTCCAGTGAACAGCTCCTCAAACAAGAAGATTATCATACATTCCCACTCACTTGCATGTCCAACCCGCCCTTGCACCAATAGTGGGGCCCCACCACCACGTTACGTGGTAATTGGTTCCGCACATCACCGGGCCTGTTACTGTGCCGCACGGGTCGCGTTTGCCACTATCCCAGTTTCAATTGTTTCATGGAGATTGGTCAATTAACACAAACACTAAGGGACTACTTATCTTTTGTTGCATATACAGTAGTTGTATACAGATCGTTGGTGGGCAATGGTGCGGGTTGGGCGAGTGTCGGTACGGTGTCTCGAATGTCTGTTCTAGACCACACTTGCCGGTAGACTAGTTATTATTCGCTACTCTGCTGGTTATATGCTTGGACGCCGCCTCAGTTCCCCACAGGTTGGCAGGACTTTTTGTTGGACATACGGAACGGTTTGAGTTCCGTCGTTGGTACTTTGTAGAGCTTTGCTTCTCTCGTTAGGCTCATGCGTTTGGAGCGAGTATCTTCTTGGGATACTCTACTCCTTCCTCCACCCTTGTTCACTGTTCCATCCTTGTTTACTCTTCCCTGCTTGGCGGGATTGTGTCGATGGCTCCTGACTGGGGTGTTGGGTGTGGTGTTTGGTCACCTTGCGTGCGTCTTTAGTGCCTTTTGTCCATCTCTTGTTCTTTGTTGTCCTGTGGGGCTCTGCCCCGCATTGCGGTGCTTTTGTTTTCGTTGTAGACCCCTGGGTCTTTTCCCTGTCTGGACACTTTCCTTGCCTATCTTCGGTGCCTGACTGCACCCTCACATGGCCGAGGGAGAGATCTTCTCAAGAACCTCAAGATAACCCTGCTGTCCGTAAGGTCCCTCAGGTATGTACGCGCTCCTCTACACATTTTGTGGTTGGTCGTGTGCATTACTTCCCGGCCGCTCTTTGGGCCGTATTCGTGGTTTTCCTTACCTAATGCAGTTTTTCCTGCCCCATGCTACACTTTTTGTGTATTTGAGTCAGTGCTTCTTGATTATCCTCTTTGGTGCTCCGGTGGACCTCTGTCCATGTTCCACGTCCTGCTTTTGGACTTCTCCGGTGTTCCATTTTGGTACCGAGTTCCTGCGATTTCTGTGTGGTTTTCTGCAGGCTTCGGGTTGCGCTGTCTGTGGGGGGGGGATGTGGACTTTTTGGTTTGCCGCTCCTGCCTTCCTGGTTCCTTTTCTTGGAACCGGGTTTGCTGGGTTCCGATCCTGGTTTCGGTTTTTCCTTGTTCCTTTTCCGGACCGGGTGTGTTTGTTTTCCTGCGGTTCTCGTCCTCGGTGGTCCTCCTCTTGGATGCCTCGGGGATGCGTGTATCATTCTTCCCTGTTGGAGCTGGTTTTGTTGCTCCTTTGGGTTGTGGGGTCGCTGTTTTTAGATTCGCGTTTTGCGCTTTCGATCGTGGTGTTCGTTTCTCGTCGTTTGTGTCGGCACAGGTGGGTTCGTTATTGGTCTCCCACCTGCACGTTTCGTCTCGGGGGTGGTGTTTGGTTTTCCTGTTGCTGCGAAGGGTCCTTCGGTCTTTGATAGGGTTGCTTTGTCTTCCCTTCGGGGTTGTTCTGGGACCGTTGTCTGGGATTGTCCTGTCACCTCATGTTGGGTGGTGCTGGCAGAGCCGCTCCTGCTTACGTTCAGTGTTGCGGTTCCTTCTGCTCCATTCCACTTGCTGTCCTGGGCATCGTTCCCCTCTGGCTTGCTCTTGAGTTTTGAGGCCGTCCTGGTCGTTGGCCTGGGTGGTTTTTTTTTTCTTCTCGTTTTGGTCTTTTTGTTTCTGGTTTTGGTTGTTCAGTTAGGACGTGTGGTATCTGCCTCCCGGTTTTTTCCCTGTTTTACTTATCTTTTGGTAAGGTAGCTCCGGGGAGCCGACGGGGCTTCCCCCAGAAAACCAGCGTTGAATGTAATGAAACGCCATTTTCTGGGTGAGTCTCGGAGGCTCCCCGGCATCCTTCCCTCCTTCCGGTTGGTGGCGTTTTCGCGTCTTTTGACATCCAGCCTAAGAACTGCCAGTTGGATCGCCGGCGTGGAGGGTCTGGGGCTCCCCCTTCCCCCTCTCGGGGAGGGGGGGGTGGCGTGGAAATTAGTTACATTCATACAGTACTAGGAAGTTATGGAAATGTTGCAAATAAAGTTCAATAATATTTATGCAGAATTTGTATTGTCATTCCCTTTCCTTCAGCACAAGTTTTTCTGTGAATGTCTAATGCCAACATATTGTATTGGTAAATTACTTACATCATTGTTTTAACCTTGCAACAGTTTATGAAGGCAATATTTTCCATTCCATAAATGCATGTATTTGTTCTCATTTTAGATGACTACATGGTTGTTCTGAGTAATGGGACGTGAACAAAAGAGGGATCGTTTGCAACCTTTCAGACACGAGAGTTATAGACAGGTAAGGTCTGCTTGAAACATAGTTTATAATATTGTACAGTACTTAATATTTATATGAGGTTCATCTGAGTAGCTTTCTAAGATATAGCACTGGGGCTACCAAGCCTTATGGAATCTCACTAGGCCTCTGAGAACCACCCAAGGCCTGCTGAGAGCCAGGACCAGACTCTGGCTCTGTGAAGTAAGGAAGAGCTTAAGGATCAGAGCTCAACTCAAACCGGAAACAAATATCAGACAATATTAGCGCGTCCAAAAACCACAGTGGAATGCACTGAAATGTCTTTTTTCGGGTAGAGCTTCGGTGGCTCCCTTAAGCTATCTCGTTCAGAGTCAGGTTCTGGCTTGTGGTCCCTGGTAAATCAATAAGAACTCTGCAACTGATGGCACCTAGTAGTATGGCACCAAATCAGTGTAATAACTTCAGGGAGCTACCGGGGCTCATCCAGAAATTGGTGATTCATTACATTCAATGCTAGTTATTTTCTACATGGTGTCAGGTATAGGCAAGCCTGTGAAATGGTACAAAAGGGCAAACCAACAAAATTACTAGAGATAGGGGGAGTGAAGGACAAGGAGAGAGGGAACATGTCCCTGAAAATTGTATGTACTAACATTAGATGGAGCGTGAATAAAAAATACTGGAGCTAAACATTATAATACTGCTTAAGACGTCAGATATTGTTGCACTAACAGAGACAAATCTCAAAGAGGATATTTTAAAAGAGGTCGTATTCTTGAGGGGCTATTCAATTTGGAGACATAACAGAAAAATTAGGAAAGAGGGGAGGGGGGGGGGTCTTTGCCATGCTTGTGACAGAACACCTAAAGGTAAACGAATTACGATTGGCAACTCATGAAAAGTTGACATAATGGCACCTGGAGATATTTAATCAGGATGACAAATAAAGGCCTTCAGTCCACCAGCATGCAACAACCCTACCAAACAGTATGACAACACTCATTATCCATACCTAACTGGCACCCCTGTCCCCACCCTCCCCCCATTCGCCCACTTCAGAAATGTGTAGACAAAAAGCAGCTAATGAGACACAGGCAACAAGGAAGGAAGGATGGGAAGCCAAGAAGGAAGGAGACAGCCACGTATGAAGGAACTGATCCTCAGGACCCAAAGAACAAAATCTATGAGAAATAAAAGACCTTGGACTGGGGGCAAATGAAATACAACAAGAAGAAAGAAAAACAAATACACTCCACCCCAGAAAACAGAAAGGCAGGGAGGAGGAGGAGTGGCAGAGCTGAGGAAAAAAAGTGCACAAGAAAACATATGAGAGGTAAAAAAACAGCGTTGAATGTAATGAAACGCCATTTTCTGGGTGAGTCCCGGAGGCTCCCCGGAGCTATCCCAGGCTGATATGCTAATGTCAGACTTTGGCATCAGTCATGTGTATGGAGTTCTTAGGCCTACCGGGGACCACGGCCAGAACCGGGCCCTCTCAGAGAGGCAAGGGGAGCAATGGCCTATAGAAGCCCCCGTGTGGTTGGAAGCATTCTATGTCTGCCATCGACCGGAACAGGCACCCAGGAAGGTAAGCGCCCCAAAACAAACCCCTATTCTGGTTAAAATTGCTACCAAAAGACGAACTAGTGGATAGAACTCCCCAACAAAAAACAAGCAAACTAGTGTGACGTCACACGCCGCCGCATCGCTGTCTGCACAGCTCCCCCCTCCCCGGGAGGGGGAAGGGGGAGCTCCAGACCCTCCACGTCGGCTACCCACACCTCAGTTCTTGAGGCTGGATGTCAAAAATGCGAAAAAAAACGCCGACCGGAGGGAGGGAAGGATGCTGGGGAGCCTCCAGGACTCACCCAGAAAATGGCGTTTCATTACATTCAACGCTGGTTTTCTGGGGGGAACTCCGTCAGCTCCCCGGAGCTAAGTACCCACAGACGGAAAAAGAGGGACTTACCCAGGAGGCGGTTGTCACTCACTCCTCAACTCGTAGCCGAGACAACTGACTGCAACCACCGACCCAACGCAACACAGGCCCGACTGGGCCCAGGGACATTAACAAGGTAACGAGCAGCCAGGACCCTGTTCGACCGCCAAAATCCCTGCGCCCGAATATCAGACCAAGACATTCCCAAAGATGGCAGCAAGAGCCGCGAACTTACGAACGTCATAGGCACGGGGATAGACTGCAGGCTGGCTGGACTTAATAACCCTGCGGACGACCTGGGAGACCCGAATCCGCGAACAGGGAAGAAGGGAAACCGGATCAACCCACAGCGCGTCTCCAGACACAGAAGCCGTCGCGCGCAAATAACGGCAAAGCGCCGCAACCGGACACAAAACATGATGCACCCCTGGCCTGACCAACCAAGCATCAACCACCCATGGACCCCTCCAGAACGCAGCAGTCTCATTCTTCGCCAGAAAAGAAGGAGACGGCTGCAAGCGAACAAAACAATCTCCCCGACCAAAAAAGCAGAAACCCCTGCGCTGGAGGAGAGCATGAAGCTCCGCTACCCGACCCCCAGAGGCCAAAGCCAATAAGAAAAGAGCTTTGGAAAAAACAATCCTGGACCGAAGGGGCCACAACGAAACGAGGAGACGAAAGGAAAGCGAGCACTCTGTCCAAAGACCAGGACGGCTCAGGCGGCGCATGAGCAGGCCGGAGGTGAAACAATGCACGAGACAGCTTGCGAAATGGCGCAGGCGTAACATCGATACCGAAGACAAGCTGAAGCGGCTCCGCCAGCGCCGCATAATACGAGGCGACAGTGTTAGGCATAAGATGACGGTCCTAAAACAACCACGAGAGGAAGGACAAGACCACCCGAGCAGACAAAGAACTAACACGACGAAGACGCAAAAAGAAACAGAAGGACCGCCAGGAAACTTCATACTGCCGTCGAAAAGAAGCCCTCAGGTGGGACACCAACAAGGAGGCCACCTGATCACCATAGAGATGATGATAGATTCGAGTCAAAAAACCCATACGCAACGACTCGAGGAGAAGATCGAACCAGCCACGTGACGTACCGGCCCGATCTGCTGAAAGAGCCGGTGCGGCGGGAAAACCCTCGGGTTCGGACACCGAGCAACCAGCGCCTGACACCAAGGCTGGACCTGCGACGACGCCCAAGCGTACCCACCCCAAGATGACTCGACAGAGCACAGGGAAAGAAACCTGCCCTGCCAGCCCCGACCCCCCCCCCCCCCCAAGGGGGGAGGGGCCACCCAATGCCACCGCAGGCCGCCAGGCACGACGCGAAAGGCTCACGAATCGTGGGACCAGGTGCGGGCGAACAGCGCAAGCCGTCCCCCCATCGCCCCATGAATGGGGCAAACCGCGAAAGGGCCGGCAACCCTTACGAGACCCAGAACCCCGCACAGAGCGAACGCCGCGCCAACCAGACGAGGGAGGGTCCAGAGTAGGAGCCGAACCCGAACCTGACACCAGAGGCCTACCACGACGAGAGGAACCCCGAGCCCTGGCACGACCCTTCCGGGAAGACCCACCCCGGGACCCCTGGAAAACCAACAAGTCCGACATCGGACGACAAGCCGCCGACGCAGCCTGAATAAACTGCGCCACAGCCGACTCCTCAAACAGAAGAGGACAAAAAGGTGAAGAACGCCTAAGAGCCAGAGCCCAAGCAGATTCCACGGAGGAACCCAGCACCGTCTGCCAACATGCGAGACGGGAAGCATAAAACAGGGAAACAGCATCCCGCAAAATTGGTGTGAACAGCTTCAACAAGGCAGCCGACGAACGCGCAGCTGAGGACAAGGTGCCGGACCCCGGGACAGACCCAAGCGTCCTCACATCCTCCATGACCCAATCCGAGGACAGCTCCAAGAGGGAAAAGAACTGCAAGGCCGAAGCCAAAAGGCCCCGGACGCGCAAGTCCTCCGCAATGAGCGCCGCCGAAAGGGTGGGAACCTGCACATGGAGAAGGAATGCCAGGAATCCAGAACAAACAAGGGGCAGTATGCTAGCCAGGAAGACTCTGGAACCTCGTAACGGAGCCAGAAAGGGAATGAAGTCCCAAACCTGAACTCGGACAGATCCATTTCCGAGGCATAATCCAGGTCACTCAGGAGGTAAGCTGCAATGGCCGCCCGCACCACACCAGGTTGGATGCGATAAGCCGAAAACCTCTGGAAAGACGAAACAGATGTACCCGGGGGAACACGGAACCGTACCCGGGGAGGGGCTGACAATAAATCCAACTCGTACGCAGAGGGGGGGAAAAGAAAACCCCACTCCTTGTAACAATAAGCCCCGCTCATAGGGAAGAAAAACCCAGGCGGGGTCCAGCGGGGTCCAAGGCCCCCAAGTCAGCTCCTCCCCAGCCTCGAGGTCCTTCACCACCGGACCCGAGGCCGAGTCCTCTCCCCAAGCCCCCACCCCACAAGACAAGGACAGAGCAGCCGGAAAAGCTGGAGGAAGGGGGCCCCACTGGTCAGACCCAGAAGCTTCGGCCGGGAGACAAGACTTGAATGCCTCCGTCGTCCCCTCGGTAGGGGCAACACCCCCCCCCCCCCCCCCCCGAAGCTGCACGAGTCTCTAGATCAAGTAACCCCTGCTCCGACCCCAAAACCCTCAGACGCTTCGGGGCCGGAAGCAGGGGGGGGGGGGAACAGAACAAACACAAGGGGAAGGACGAGGAGGTGCGGACTGAACCAGGATCGAAGCGACCCCCACCCCCAAGTCCGGGTCTCGAAAAGCAAGCGGGGCAGCCCCGGGGCATCCGGGTGAGCAACCAACCGAGCGTGTTGCAATAGACGAAACCTAGACTGCAACGCACGCGCTGCCTGTACCCTAAGAGAATCATCAGAGGATTGGGTAAATTGAGTCACAAGCAAGGAGCAACACTCACAGGACTCAGGGTCGAAAGTATCACCAACCCAACAGGCAGCGTGGCAGAGGCAAAAACAATGAGGGTCACCCTGAGGCAAGGGGACCGAGCAACCCTCAAACTCGCACACAGTGAGCGGGGACTCCGGGGTCACATCCATCGGACCCACGCACC